AAAGGCAAGAGGGGATAATAGTCGATAAGGAGAAAAGAATATTAGTTATTGAGGAAAGAGGTGAGAGAGCATTGAAATCTAAGGAAGAGGAAAAGCAAGTGTTAGAACTAAAACTGACTGATAAAAAAAATAAATTAAAGCAAAGAAAAAACCGAATAGATGAACTAGAACAAGACAAAAAAAGTTTAACAAACCAAATTCAAATTCTTCAAGAACAAAACCGAACTATCACTCTTAATTACCAACAAATAGCCAAAAAACTCCAAGCCTACGAAGAATTAGAAGCTGCAGTCCAAGAAAGACTAGCTCGTCAAGCCCAAATTGCTAGTCCCCAAGACCGCAAACTTAGTGAACAAGAAGAAACCATTGCCTTACAAAATGCGTTGATAGCCAAAAAATCTATCGACATTAAAGACCTTAAAGAAACCATTCGTATACTAACTAATTCTTTCCAAAATCTTCACGAACGCAAAGAGGAATTAGAAGCCGAAATCAGAGACTGCTCTGATCAACTTCAAAGAAAAGAAAGCAAGTTAAAAGAACTAAACTCTAATTACCAATTGCTCAAAAAAGAACAGGAGAAAATCTCCGAAGAATTAACAGCTCAAAAAGAAAATTATTCTGAATTAAAAAACCAGTTAGAAAAAACCAGTATTTCTCTGGCGAAAACTCAAACTGACCTAAGTAATTACCGGGAAAGATTTTCACTGTTAGAAAATGAAAAGAACCAACTCAATCAAACTTTAACTAGTCGAAATCAAGAATTAACAGAACTAAATTTCTCCTTTGAAACAGTTTGTTTGCTAGTTGATCTCCCTCCCATTCCCCAAAATAATCCAGGCGAAAACACTCCAGAAGAAAGAATGCTCTTACAAAGATTAGCTAAGTTAGGTATTGGTTCTGATGACTGAAAATCCCAAGTTAAGTGGCCAGTTCTTGCCGCTCTTGTTTTCATTGTTATAATGGGACTTTGAAAACTAGGAGAGATTTTTCATGCTGTTTTTAAGAAAAGGAAAGTTCAAAAAGGGAACTCTTAACTCGGAAAGAGTTAAAAAATAATTATGCTTAATGAGAATAATGAATTGGTTGAAAGTTTGGGCGAAACAAACCAAGAATTTATCATACCGGAAAATTTAAGTAGAGAAGAGTTAATAACAAAAGTTCGAGAGTTAGAAATTAATTTGAGTCGCACTAAAAATGAACTAGAAGATATAGGAGAAACTTTGCAATGAAAAACGCAGGAATTAAATCAAATTGAACCCGAAAGAAATGGATTGCAAGTAGAAAACTTGAAGTTGGAGAGTCAGATTTTGAAAAAACAAGGAGAACTTAATGATGCCCTCAGAGAATGTAGTGATTCAGCAGGCATTATATTACAAAGAGATGAAGAAATTGGAAATTTAAGAAATCAAATTACTACTTTACAAAGGACAATTAACGAAAATGAACGAAAAGGATTAGAAAGAACCTTTCAGTTTGAAAACAAAATTACTTACCCCGAAAACGAAAATCAAGTTGAGCGGAGAAAAACCGAAGAAAAATGTACTCAAACTGAGCAAAATTTTCCAGATCGAACTCAAATAATATCTCTCATGGTGGGTATAGTGATTGGCTTGGCTTTGTTTGGTTTGGTAAAAATGGTTTTTGGTGGCAAAGAGAATAGTAAAATAAATGAAATAAATCCCAATCTTTATTAGCACCGGAAAATAAAGTCCAACGACCTTTCCAAGACTTCCACATACTTAATATCTTCCTCGTAAGCAATTTTTTTGAGTTGGGCTAATCAGGATTTTTTAACCCGACTATAAAAGCGATAATCCCGATTGCTGCTGCTTATTTCTCTCATATAATTATAATTTTTGTTCTCTTTGTTTTGTCGGTCTTGTCCGTCTTGTCGGTATAATATAATGTAAAAAAAGAAATGGTAAATATTCAGGAGTGGTTGGATGAGAAATATCCGAAAGAAGGTTGGGTTGGTAAAGATAATGGTTGAGGACAAGAAAAAAAAATAAAAAGGAATGAGGCACGAAAAATCTACCTCAATGAAACCAGTTTAGAAGGAGAATTAGATTTGGAGGATTTTACTGGTTTGCAGGAAATTCATATTTCTCCCCAAGTAAATGAAACCAAATTAACTTTTAAAAACCAAGGAGAAAATATTAAGATTATTAGAAATAGTTGAATGGACATACATGAGGATTTTTATGAGTGAAACCAACAAAAATGAGAAAAAGCAGGTATCACTCACCAAGAAGCCGCCGAGTGGATTAAGTTAGGATTCGAACCAAAGTATTTCTGGAATGTTAGTGAATGAAAAAGCCGTAACTTTAACTCACAAGAAGCAGGTGAATGGATTAATAAGTTAAATTTGAAGCTTAGAGACTATGAATTTGCCGTTTATTTAAGATGAAAAGGTTATCAACCTAGTTCTAATTTAGATTTAGAGCAACTAAGGATTGAATTCACTACTCCTCAAAATTATTTAAGCTGTTTTTATCCTCAAAAAATAGGAACAAAGAAAATGATTTATCTGAATATTAGAGGAAAAAACTTAACTGGGGAATTGGATTTGAGTGATTTTCCTAATTTAGAAACGTTGGATTGTAGTGATAATTGATATTTAACTGGTATCAAGGGATTAAATAATTTGTGGCGATTAGAGAGTTTAAATATTAGCCATAGTGATATTGGTATCAATAGTTTAGAATATCTTCCTAATGACTTGAAATATTTTGATTATTGAGGAAGTAGATTAGAAAAAGAATTAGAAACTTTGGGTGGTGGCAATTGAGAAAAATGAAAACAATATTTTGTTTGGTTAAAGGATAAAAAAGGAGTTGGTACTGATTGAGCATTAAATAATCCTGATAAGAGTAAAGTGTTGAAAGAAGCTTATAGTAAGTGCGGGACATGTGAAGAATGTCAAGAACCAAATACCAGTCCTAATTGATGCCAACCTTGTATGGAAAAAAAATGACAGCAAGATTTAAGTAATTTAGCTGCTCAAGAAGTTGTTAAGGAATTTATCCAATGACGAAATAAAAAATTAGAATTACAATGAATTCCTTACGAACAATTTACTGGCATAGAATATTTAGCTAAAGGTGGTTTTAGTAAGATATATAAAAGCAATTGAGAAAAAAACGAACATAAAAACAAAAAGATTGTTCTGAAATTTCTTAATAATTCCCAAAAAATCACTTTGGAATTATTAAGAGAAGTTACTAATACTAGTCTAGTGAAAGGGGGCGTTGTCTTTTGTCATGGTATCACCCAAGATCCTGTTACTAAAAATTTAGTGATGGTGATGGATTACATGAATAGCGGTAACCTAAGGGAACACTTACAAAATAGGTTCGGCGTATTAGGATTTGATAATAAACTTAAAAAATTAGGTTTTATTGTTAAAGGGTTGAATAATATTCACGAACAAAATTTAGTTCATCGAGACCTACATAGTGGTAATATCTTAAATTCTAATAGTTGTAGAAGCGGAAAAAAAATTTGTATCGCTGATTTAGGTTTATCTCTGCCTGTCAATTTTCAAAAAAAATCAGGCGAAATCTTTGGTGTTCCTGCTTATTTAGCACCCGAAGTATTGCAAGGAAAACCTCACACCAAAGCGTCAGATGTTTACTCTTTGGGCATAATTATTTATGAATTATTGGCTAACGCTTATCCCTATCCCGATTTAAATGACTTAGATTTAATTTTGAAAGTATGTCAGGGATATAGACCAAATATAGATGGGTTAAAAGTCCCTAACTTATTAAAGAATTTGATTAAAAAATGTTTAGATCCCAAACCAGAAAAGAGGCCAACTGCCAAAGTGCTAAGGGAAATTATTAATAGCTGGCGAAACGAAATTGGAAATAAAAAAATCACTGAATTTTATCAACAGTATCAAGAAATAAAAGAGGAATACAATCAATTCTCTAAAACCACCTCTTATCAAATCCATCCTAATGCTAATCTAACTAGTAAATCTATAAATACTGAGCAAATTACTGAACAATTAAAAAATTATACTAGTGGGGAATTAGAACTAAATCTCGATAATTTTAGTTTAACAAAAGTAGATATCCAACAACAATCCTCCCTCCAATCCCACACCCAACTCCCTCCCAAATCCCCTCAATAACTTCCCCTTACCTAAGTCTCTCTTTTATAAGGAGAAAGTTCTAAATACTTTCTTTCTCCGTTTACTTTTTGCCCGTAAGGTAAGAAACTAAGACAGAAAAGTAAGGAAGAATGAGTAAGGCAAATTAACGGAGAAAAAAACAATAAATAATAACTTAAAAAAATGAACGTACTAAACCCGAAGAAAAAACTATCTCAGGCCGAAGCATGTCAAACTTTCCATTGTTTGCCGAACGAAATTCAAACTCAAATCCGGGAGTTAGAAAATAAAAAACTTTGACACGGATTTCCTGGTTTAAGAGAACCCATCACTTTTAGCGAAGCCGAAGACCAAGAATTATTACGCTTATACTACCAATACCAAGTAGTTCCTTTATTTTCCGAATGATATCCTAATGTCAAGGATTTGGTGAGATAATATGGTTAGAATGAGTAAAGAGTATTGAAAGGAGTATAATC